TTTGTTTTTTTGCGTGATAAAATCAAAATATGATCAACGAAAATCATTACCAATTATAAGGATGTCCATTATGCTAGATATTAATATGTCTCGCAAACCTAGAAATAACAGACGCAAAACTCAGGAAGATTCACTGATAATCCTAAGCAGTATATGCAATTTAAAAACTGGGATAAATATATGCATAGAATTGACGAAAATTTTATAACTATCATAAATAGGGATACAGAAGACGTAAAGGCGATATTTGATTATGGAGAGGTATGTAGGTATTTAGAGATAAATAATCTCGATTCCAATATTCTCAATATGTGCAACAATTAATTGGCTTATTTTTTTGGATATTTATATGGATGGCTTTATTAATGAAAAATCAAAAAATCAAAGTATGAGAGAAATAAATATAAACCAAACATATGGGGTAGATATCGTAGAATTGTCTTCTATATACCTGTCCGATCTACGTGTAGATGAATTAATCAACAAAGACATATTAACGATTAAATGTTCTGCATATTCAACAAAGTCTTCACAAATCTTGCCACAACTGTAGGATCCGATTGTTGCACAGGAATTTCACATTCACATAAATGAAAATATCTATCTACATTATCCATATCTCGAACAAGAGCATTAAGTTGCATCCTACGCCCAGATACTTGTATTCCAACAATCCCAAATTTGTTCTTATTAGGCCTAATGTTTTTACGAACCCAATACATCCCATCATTTGTTTCCCGCCACAACTTCACAATATCATCATTCTCTTTTTTAATTGTGCAAAATAAATGCGAACATTCTGTATACATGAGCTTGTAATATTTTCCAATATGTTTCTCTACAAACATAATGTCAGGTTGTCTTCCTGATTTCCCTTCGCCTCTCCTATTTGCGCTTGCAACACTTTGGCATTCAGAACTAAAAAAATCTATATAAATACCAAAAAAAAATACTATATAAACTAATTTCTTCTATACTTACATGCTGACAAATGTAGACTTCCTTAGCGGGAGATTATTCAGTGCAGCACAAATAGCAGGTACTATTACATTAGTCATGTAGGTACCCTCACTTTGAGATCCAGCAAACTCATGACTGAACGCTGGATTGTTCCAAGAGTCGTTCCTAATGCAATAGAATGATTTGAGTAGATTGGCAGATATTAAAAAATGCTTGCAAAATACACTCACAAAGTATCCAGGATTTTCATTGCAACATTGGCAAGTTCTTCATCAGTTTCCTTCCACATCCCATTGTGCGAAAGCATTTGTGGCAAATCTACCACTCTATTCTCAATGAAACTGGCCACGAATTCATTACATTTACTTTCTACTAATGGTGGAAGAAACTCAGTTACCATTTTCCATGCTAGTTTCTGATAATAGATAGAGTTAATTGGAATACATTGATTGTGGTATATAATAATAATAATAAGAACTTACCGTAAAAGAATGTTGCAATGGAACTAGTAACTGTCATACCAGCTTTGAATCGTCACTAATGACCTGGCTGGCTAGAGGATCCTTCTGTGATAATCCCAAAACATTTATCGCCTTCACACCACCATGTAATGCTTGATATAGCACCGATGAATTTTTCTATCCAAAGTACCTCATATGAGAATCTTAAAAATACATCTTTAAAAAATCATGCGATACTTACCGATAGCTTCGCTTTCAACTTTCTTATATTTTTTGTAATCTCTTCCAAAGTCTCAGGTACTTCCTCATTAAAAGAACATACCTAGGGATAGGCAAAATGCAAAATCCTTAGTTTATTGTGTGCATTATGTGCATAGTAAATTATTAATGATTTTTTAAAAAAACATCCACCATAAAATTATCTTCATGGTTTTAGCTTAGATGTAATAAAACATATGTTTATTGTGTTTATTGTTGTGATTAGAATACAAACTTTTATTATAAACTTAGTAAGTTACATCAGAATCATAAAAATCATCAGATTCTTGATTTCCTTTTTCATTTTCACTACTACCCTTGGAGAGTTGTTATACTTACTCTTGAACAAATTTTAAAATGTGCAACACATTTACCAACAGCAGCATTTATTTCATCATTACAATATTTGCATTGTGCACAAGATTGCTGAAAGCCTGATATTTGACCAAGTTTATTGAAATGAATCCAAAATTTAAAAAAAAATTTTATTTTTAAAATTTTTGGTGCGTAACACAGATTTATCTATCTATTATGTGCATAATGCGCATGGCACATCTCTAAACATACCTCATAAAAGCATAGTGGAATTTCGTAATTATCATGAATGTGACTTAAAATATCGATCTTTTTTATATTGTGTAATGGTAATTTTAAAGTACTTTTCAATTGGATGTTTGACCTTAATGTGATGTAAAAACTATTTATCAAAATTGTCAAACCAACTTTATAGCCATATTCTTCATATTTTTTTATATTACCAACTTCCATCATTTTCCATCACTTTCCTGGAGGAGTTAGCTAAGAACCAAAGTTCTGAATTGCAATTTGGAGATCATTGACTGTCCCATTTCTGGGAATCTTAATTATGAGGGAAATGTTATTGGTTAAAAGTTGATTACATGGGTTATTAAGAATAACAATACAATTGAGAGCGGTATTGTTGGCCATTTTCACATTTCCTAGATAAGTAAAAATTCATTTATAATGGATAGTGCCCTTATTGCAAATAATGCATAATGAACTCCAGCAAATCAAACATGTTACCTTATAAAAATTGCAAAAAGATAAGAAATGGTGCCTCACAAATCCAGTTTATTTATATTGCTTCATTCACTACTCACTAGAAAAAAAATTATATGATGTTACCCCAACCATTTTCCAGATCCTTTCTTCATAAAGCAAGTCAGGCCACAAGTGCCAAGCACTAAATATATGAGCCATAGACTATATTTCGCCTTTTATGGGGAAATTAAACCTTCCAGTCTGATGATTGCTTTTGTAGAATAAAAAATAAGACAAATTTTGGCAATCTTGGATCAACAGGAGAGACTGTCCTATATAAGGAATGGATTTTCACAATTGATTTCAATTTTTTTATACAGTTTAAAATACTTTTACAAGGGTATCA